TTTAAAATAGTCCAAATTGAAAGAATATACAAGTAATACCAAAAATATTTTAACTGCTATGTCACCTCTTCTATTAACTGTTAATGACAACATATAAATTTTTTTAGGAGAACGTACTTACAAAATTTTAAGAGATAAACAAATTTTTAAAAAATGTAAATATATAGAAATTTTTTTTAACTCATCCCGTCGATTCTTCCGTGCACGTATAAATAGTTCTTTCCTTTTGTTTTCTTCCAAATTTTGTGGTTCTTTTTCCTTTTTTTCCTCCCAATCTTATTTATTTTCTTTGTTGCTTCATGCCCTTGAGTTCAATGAATGGTTGTCATTCCTTTTCTTACTACTGTTAAAATTTGATTAATTTAGAGTATTATCCATCGATAAAAACACACACTAATAATTATAATAAAATCTAAAAAAATATTATAAAGTTGATGGAGTAAATGAAATAAATGCAATTGGTGAGTGTGTATAAAATTTTCCTAATGGGATGGGAATATTGCATATGGACAAGTAGCAATAGTTAACGAATATATGCCACAGTGCTCTCCATAATTCCACATTGCAAATTATTCACCTTTGCCAGAATCCCAACTAAACTGAGCGGTATCTAAGAGATTAATTTTTTAAATATAAATTCAAATCTTGAATTTTCACGTTAGTGTTAATTAATGATTCCCATTTTGATCCAAATCCTCTTAACCAGTGTTGTTAATATTGACCTAATTTTCATGTGCTTTGTAGCATAAGTGACACATCACGTGGACTGTACCTTTTAACATGGCATGTTTCACGATTATTAATAATAAAATAAAAGTTTTGATAAATTTGGTAAAGGTTTTTTAAAAAAAAAGGTTTACGATTTTGAAAGAATAAAAACTAAAATATAATTAAGATATTAGAAATTTAGGACGACAGACGAGATTTAACCACCAAATTCGATACAATAATAACAAGAGATATGTCTACCCAACTCACCACCAGCTTGGCCTATTCCCCCACTTTTGTTTTTGCCTTTTGAATGTAACGAAAATATGATATAACATGAAGAATTACCAGAACCTCATTAAAACATATATTTCTCTATTTATATATTAATAGTATAAAAATAATAAAATTAAAATACTCACAAAATTGTGACCTTAATAGTTAAAATGAGTTTTGTTCTCCTAGAGATTCTGGTTAGTGGATACCACAAGTAAACTTTAGGGTTGGCATGTACTCACCTTGAAATATATTTTTTATATATAAATTATCCATTTTTTTTATAGTATACACTTTGAAATTTATTTGTGCCTATAATATTTGAAAAGTTTCTATTATTAATGTATATATATGTACACCCTAAAAAATTGAAACCCCCTCAGACCGATGCGGATAACCCGATCCGATCTAGAGTGTCACATTAGGGCCACCAGAGCGACCCACCGTAAAAATAGCGGAAAAATTAAAACTTTTCTTATAACATATAAAAACATAAAATGTTTTATTATTATTAAGAAATAAGATAGGTTTTTCAAACTCAGATATAAAACCAAATACAATCTACATGCCCCCTAATCACATATATCATACTCTGCAAGCAACGCCGGAAGAACTCTCTTACTAATGTTGATAGTTGTACTGGTACAATCTTTTAGCCTGCAATGGTGAGTAATAGAGTGAGCTTCGAAAAGCTCGGTAATACAGAACTACCAGATGATGTTGCAAGACATGCCGATAAATGGAAATCCATGTCATTTCTTATTTAATCAAATGCATATCGATTTTCGGAATAATCTGGAGTTCCACTGGTAATTCAACGAATAGAAGCCATGAATATCTCAGTTCATAGGAAGCATTCATAGTATCACATTTTCAGGAGATCAAATAGGATGTCTAGTGTGTTTCATCAGTACGATAAAATCATAATAGGTACACTAATCAAATGATAGTTTAGTAAATCCCATAAGCCATACTGTACTAGAGCTTTTTAAACTCGTATTTTAAAATCATCATACAAAGAGTTAACCTAAGGGAACATCTTAGGGCCTTAGAGCCTACCCAATAAAGTTTGGGGCCACGAGGCCTACCTAATAACACATCTTAGGGCCGTAGAGACTACCTAAGAGTCACATTAGGTCCATAAAAATTTTCCAGCTTGATCAGAGCTGTACTTTACAAATCTGTATCTCCAAGATACAATTTATACCGTGATACAAATCCATAAGCCATCACCATTAAGTCGGTGCATCCATAAAACAGTAACCATAAATTTCAGTGTACCTCATGTTAAAACAATAAAACAATTTTTCAAAATATAAGGAACACACTAGAGAATCCAAATATTTTTCAGATGCATTTTGTAGTTATCAGTATGGATAACATGAACTTGTGCAATTTGATCGGATTCCAGGAATAATATCTTATTGAAGAGAATCGATTTCTAACCGATCTAATCAGACATTTCACATTGATACTTTAGAATTCCACTAAGTTTCCATATGCATCAGGAAAACGTTCAGGAACCTTTATACATAATAATTCTAAATTCTGATTTACTGCGAGTGATTCCATTACCCAAATAATCAGGGGTATTCAGGAATATACTTTGAATTCATAGGATTTCAGCTCAATTGAACCAAATGAGGTATTCAGAATCTTTTCATTCTGCGTTACTTGCGTTTTCAAACATGACCGAAGTGATTTTAGATGAAAATATAGAATCGAAGATTCAAGTCATTTACAATCTATGACTATCGATCGTATTATCAAACAACTCGAGTTACACAACTCCCAAACTTATGCATGTCAACAAGTCAATTCATTATCCTTCCAGTGTATTCACTCTTTAATACCATAATGCAGATCCATAGATCATCCCCATAATCATCGCTGAATAAATCTTCCAACGTTCTTTATTTCATTTCCACGTTTCAGCGATATTAGGAAATACAAACGTACTTAATTCATGGTTCATATCCCATAAGGACAATTCATCATGTAAGTTCAATAGTGTTTCCAAACTCATCCAATCACCTATTTAATCCTCAGTCATTGAGGTTACTTAGTTAGTTTAGTAAGCAAGTCTATCCCCGGTTGCTTTAGAGTTTTCCAAAATAATTCAGACATTTCTGAATTTCAAATACATGTTGTACTTCATTTCAGTTCAATTTATTCATATAATAAAGTCATTCTGGTATTCGTGGTTGATTTGACTCACGAATACTCACTTATTAGTATTGAATGCGCTCTAGAGTTGAGCTAAGCTAGGTATTCCAGAATTATCATCGATCCAAATTTGAGAAGATGAACAAACATTCAAGTGGTACTTATATCATTCAGGTAATGATATAGCACTAGCGTTGGTTGATCACTTAAGCTGCGTTCCATAACTTTTACTGGTAGCACAACATCCATGTTTATTTGGATTTCTTAATTAATCCAAGACATTTACTTATTCTAGGTCATAAGGGTATTTTGGTCATTTTGGTGCTCAACGTTTTTCTATTCATTTCAAAGCTTGAGTATATCCATTTATTCCTGAGCTTGGTGACATTCTTGAGTCATTTCCATTCCAGGGGTATTTTGGTTATTTTACAGATCTAGAATATTTCAATAATTTCCTTTAATCCGGTCTTATTATTTAATTCAAACTTATAATTTATGTCAGTCCCTTTGAACTATTTTGACAAAATATCACAATCGATAAATTATTATTCTTCATTTACTTACTCAAGTCGGAGATTTCCAAGTTAAATGCCTTCTCAGATGTTACTAACGGATTATCAGAATTTTCCATACAAATATAGAATCTCAACAATCAAATAAGTAATTTATCAGTTTAAAAACAAATTCTCATGTTACTTCCTTCCTCATTCAGAGTCAACTTGGACTATCTTTACCTCTCAAGGGCATTTTTGTAATTTCTTAACCAGATAATTTTGGTATTAACTCTTAATGAAAATAATTATACTTTAGAGATCCAATGGTTAATTGCTTTCCCGAACATTCTTTGACTCGAAATGATTCCTTAACAGACTTATAGTATCTTGAACAAACCCTTTTGGGGTTAAAAAAACCAGTTATTCAAATTTTCTAAGCAAAACTAGCATTTCTTTTGCACATCTGTAATATTATCGGATCAATATGTCTTTTCAGAGTTATTAACCAACTTCCAGGAAAAATTATTGTCATCTTACAACATAAGGGTATTTTCGTAATTTTACCCTACTAGATTATTTTCATAATTTCTCATGTCTGTACCTTTAACATTTAACCTTTGATGATATAATTTATAAGTTACAGATCCAGGCTGATTCCTTATCACTAACCACATAACTTGTAATTTAATTCTAACAATCCCTCAATTTTTTTTATAAAAGTCATATGAACCATAATTAGTTACTGATTTTTTTACCGTATTCGGATCGAGTGTAGAAATTAATTAACTACACAAATGAGACCAATATTATCTTATTTATGCTTTTACCAATATCAACATGTTCCATAAAGTATAAAGAGGTAGTAAAGTATTACCTCAATTTTCGTGCCATATAGATCGACCATAAAAATTTCATTCGAACACCCTCAATCTTGAAATCAACTTCCAATAATTCCTCAGATACATATTAACAAAAATTACATCAAAACGAGGCTTAATTTTGAAAAATGAATCGAATCGGGTGATTAATCAGTGAAAAATAACTTACCTACTCAATTTCTAGTTTCCAATCTTTTTCTCAAGAACTTGAACCTTCAAATATACAAACTCAAATCCAAAATAATTTCCTTCGCCATAAAAATAACTTATTAGTAATTAAATAGTAATTTAGTGGCCCAATTGCTAAAACTAAAATATTGTGGACCACTATACTATTTAATTTACTAAAATCAGGGACTAAATCTAATAAATTTAAACTATTTAACTAAAGATAAAATTATGTAAACACTTATGAACAAGGTTAAGTTCTCACCAATATCAAAGGACTGAGCTTGCTTTTTTCCCCTTATTTTTTTAACTAGCTCCCACGTGATTTTGCCTTTGAATCTCCAGCAGAACATCCACAAAAATCTTTTTGATCTTTACCTTGAATCCCTTTAAAATAATTTACTTGTTTGTTATGGTGATTCTCGTGTTCATCAAGAAATTCATCGAACTCCTTGGCCACTTTCTTGGCTTTAGCATTGAATCCATTGACATGGCTTACCCATGCAAGCCATGGAAGATAATCCCCCACATCCTACATACCCAACAACTCTGTAACTCTCTCAAAATCTTCTTGAACTTGCTCGTAACTTCACTGTACTTTCTTCCCAAATATATTATGCAGATAACGTTGTTCAGAGTCATTAAAAAGAGCTCGCTTAGATTCACTAGTAAGCCAGAAGAGCTAGACTTTTGAACGTTCTTCACTGCTAGAGCAGTTTTTTCTTCTCTTATAGCCCGATAAGATTGAACCCTTTTGTTACTTAGAAGATTCAGTACACATATACTTCTCATCTGCCTCCAATACTCGCCGTAACGTGCGGACACGACGTCTTTATAGTCGTAGAGAAGTATCTGAAAGAAGATGCGTTTGGGTCTGTTTATGAATATGAGATCATGAGTTTTAGTGATCTCACGGGCAGTATCGGCGGAGGACACGACGTGTACTGGGACATTGCCGAAGTGGAGCGACATGAGAGGGCCAAATCGTCGAGCAGATAGATAATCCAAGGATTTTATCAATGTTCCTTTGCAGAGATCACTTAGCCTTGACTTGATGTTAGTCAAGAACATTGTAGCTTCATCGAACGGTCACGTTCTAGATCAGCTTCTATCTCACTGCAGTCGCTTATAGTATGGTTCTCTCAGCCATTTTTTTTCAAGAAGTGAAGCCATGTGAGAAACCAAAGAAGACGACCCAGAGGAGTTACTTTCTTTTCCAAGAATAGCCGAGAAAGAGAGAGAGAAAATGTTGGGTGTGGATTGCTTTTGCACTTTGCACAGGTGTTCACACGCTTTGCAACAGTGAACACTCATCATTCATATTTGATATGGTAAAGGATAATAGATATGATCTGATTTTTTTAAACTAATTTCAGGCTTTGGTGGATACAAACCGAAAGTGAAAGTTGGAAACAATGGATTCCAGAAAATGCCATTATCATAATCTAATCCCATCACACCCAACAATTTGTCCACTTCAACCTAATTCATTATCTTCCATTTGTTTAAATAAATAATTGTCTAATAAAACAATTATTTTTCAACTAACTTCATATTTAATCTATAAGAAACATAACCCCTAAATTGGAGTGTTACAATTCTCTCCTCCTTAAAAGAATTTCGTCCTCGAAATTCATTCATATCACAGAATTTCAGAAATGAAACTTCTAATCAGTTCTTTCATATCTTCAAGTAGCTTTTACAAAAGTATGAATCCTCCACTAATCCTTAACTAGTAGAGTATACATTCTTATCAGAACTCTCTTCATTTCAATAAAAGAACCCGAACGAAAATTTCCTTGAGTAATCAATTCAGTTTTGGTCACGAGAATAGCCTCATAAAGCAGTAGCATATCCCAATTTCATTTCTAGAGTTCGGTCAGCATTTCTCGGATAATTAACTCTCACATGACTCGTGAGGTACTTTACAACATTTAGACAGATGTTATTGGTATTCCTTTTTGTACAAGTATAACCTTAACGGATAGAAAATTCGGTTTACTCATTACAGATAGGGACTTAGCCCTAGAGTTCCAGCTCAGAGAGGTACGATTGTAGTTGAGGGGAATGTACTGATCAAACATACTTTGACATTCGACCGAAAGGTCTATCTTGAAAATTTTTGACTCAAACCATAGCTCTGATACCACTAAATGTAACCCCCTCAGACCGATGCAGATAACCTGATCCGATCTAGAGTGTCATATTAGGGCCATCGGAGCGACCTACCGTAAAAATAGTTGAAAATTTAAAACTTTTCTTATAACATATAAAAACATAAAATGATTTATTATTATTCAAAAATAAGATAGGTTTTTCAAACTCAGATATAAAATAAAATACAATCCACATGCCCCATAATCACATGTACCATACTCTACAAGCAACCCCGGAAGAACTCCCTTACTGATGTTGATAGCTGTACTGGTACAATCTTTTAGCCTGCAATGGTGAGTAATAGAGTGAGCTTCGAAAAGCTCAGTAATACAAAACTACCAGATGATGTTGCAAGACATGCCGATAAATGGAAATCTATGTCATTTCTTATTTAATCAAATGTATACCGATTTTCGGAATAATCTGGAGTTCCACTGGTAATTCAACGAATAGAATCCATGAATATCTTAGTTCATAGGAAGCATTCATAGTATCACATTTTCAGGAGATCAAATAGGATGTCTAGTGTGTTTCATTAGTACGATAAAATCATAATAGGTACACTAATCAAATGATAGTTTAGTAAATCCCATAAACCATACTGCAGTAGAGCTTTTTAAACTTGTATTTTAAAACCATCATACAAAGAGTTAACCTAAGGGAACATCTTAGGGCCTGAGAGCCTACCCAAGAAAGTTCGGGGCCACGGGGCCTATCTAAGAACACATCTTAGGGCCGCGGGGCCTACCCGAGAATGATCTCAGGGCCGCAGAGCCTACCTAAGAGTAACATTAGGTCCATAAAATTTTTTCATCTTGATCAGAGTTGTACTTTACAAATCTGTATCTCCAAGATATAATTTATACTGTGATACAAATCCATAAGCCATCACCATTAAGTCGGTGCATCTATAAAACAATAACCATAAAATTCAGTGTACCTCATGTTAAAACAATAAAACAAATTTTCAAAATATAAGGAACACACTAGAGAATATAATATTTTTCAGATGCATTTTGTAGTTATCAGTATGGATAACATGAACTTGTGCAATTTGATCGGATTCCAGGAATAAGGTCTTATTGAAGAGAATCGATTTCTAACCGATCTAATCAGACATTTTTGATTGATACTTTAGAATTCCACTAAGTTTCCATGTGCATCAGGAAAACATTCAGGAACATTTACACATAATAATTCTAAATTCTAATTTACTGCGAGTGATTCCATTACTCAAACAATCAGGGGTATTCAGGAATATACTTTGAATTCATAGGATTTCAGCTCAATTGAACCAAATGAGGTATTCAAAATCTTTTCATTCTGCGTTACTTGTGTTTTCAAACATGACCAAAGTGATTTTAGATGAAAATATAGAATCGAAGATTCAAGTCATTTACAATCTATGACTATCGATCGTATTATCAAACAACTCGAGTTACACAACTCCCAAACTTATGCATGACAACAAGTCAATTCATTATCTTCCAGTGAACCAAATGAGGTATTCAAAATCTTTTCATCTGCGTACTTGTGTTTTCAAACATGACCAAAGTGATTTTAGATGAAAATATAGAATCGAAGATTCAAGTCATTTACAATCTATGACTATCGATCGTATTATCAAACAACTCGAGTTACACAACTCCCAAACTTATGCATGACAACAAGTCAATTCATTATCCTTCCAGTGTATTCACTCTTTAATACCATAATGCAGATCCATAGATCATCCCCATAATCATCGCTGAATAGATCTTCCAACGGTCTTTATTTCATTTCCACACGTTTAAACGATATTAGGAAATACGGACGTATTTAATTCATGGTTCATATCCCATAAGGACAATTCATCATGTAAGTTCATCAGTGTTTCCAAACTCATCCAATCACCTATTTAATCCTCAGTCATTGAGGTTACTTAGTTAGTTTAGTAAGCAAGTCTATCCTGGTTACTTTAGAGTTTTCCAGAATAATTCAGACATTTCTGAATTTCAAATACATGTTGTACTTCATTTCAGTTCAATTTATTCATATAATAAAGTTATTCTGGTATTCGTGGTTGATTTGACTCACGAATATTCACTTATTAGTACTGTATGTGCTCTAGAGTTGAGCTGAGCTAGGTACTTCCAGAATTATAATCGATCCAAATTTGAGAAGATGAACAAACATTCAAGTGGTACTTATATCATTCAGGTAATGATATAGCATTAGCGTTAGTTGATCACTTAAGCTGCGTTCCATAACTTTTACTGGTAGCACAACATCCATGTTTATTTGGATTTATTAATTAATCCAAGACATTTACTTATTCTAGGTCATAAGGGCATTTTGGTCATTTTGGTGCTCAACATTTTTCTATTCATTTCAAAGCTTGAGTATATCCATTCATTCCTGAGCTTGGTGACATTCTTGAGTTATTTCCATTACAGGGGTATTTTGGTCATTTTACAGATCTAGAATATTTCAATCATTTCCTTCAGTCCGGTCTTATTATTTAATTCAAACTTATCATTTATGTCAGTCCCTTTAAACTATTTTGACAAAATATCACCATCTATAAATTATTATTCTTCATGTACTTACTCAAGTCGTAGATTTCCAGGTTAAATGCATTCTCAGATGTTACTAACGGATTATCAGAATTTTCCATACAAAAATAGGATCTCAACAATCAAATCAGTAATTTATCGGTTTAAAACAAATTCTCATGTTACTTTCTCATTCAGAGTCAACTTGGACTATCTTTACCTCTCAAGGGCATTTTCGTAATTTCTTAACCAGAAAATTTCGGTACTAACTCTTAACAAAAATAATTATACTTTAGAGATCCCATGGTTAATTGCTTTCTCGAACATTCTTTGATCTCGAAATGATTCCTTAATAGACTTATAGTATCTTGAATAAACCCTTTTGGGGTTAAAAAAACCAGTTATCCAAATTTTCTAAGCAAAACTAGCATTTCTTTTGCACATCTGTAATGTTATCGGATCAATATGTCTTTTCAGAGTTTTTAACCAACTTTCAGGAACAATTATTATCATCCTAAAAAATAAGGGTATTTTTGTAATTTTACCCTACCGAAGTATTCTCATAATTTCTCATGTCTGTACCTTTAACATTTAACCTTTGATGATATAATTTATAAGTTATAGATCCAGGCTGATTCCTTATCACTAACCACATAACTTATAATTTAATTCTAACAATCCCTCATTTTTTTTATAAAAGTCATCTAAACCATAATTAGTTACTGATTTTTTTTACTGTATTCGAATCGAGTGTATAAATTAATTAACTACACAAATGAGACCAATATTATCTTATTTATGCATTTACCAATATCAACATGTTCCATAAAGCATAAAGAGGTAGTAAAGTATTACCTCGATTTTTGTGCCATATAGATAGACCATAAAAATTCCATTCGAACACCCTCAATCTTGAAATCAACTTCCAATAATTCCTTAGATACATATTAACAAAAATTACATCAAAACCAGACTTAATTCTGAAAAACGAATCGATTCGGGTGATTAATCAATGAAAAACAGCTTACCAACTCAATTTCTAGTTTCCAATCTTTTTCTCAAGAACCTGAATCTTCAAATATACAAACCCAAATCCAAAATAATTTCCTTCGCCATAAAAATAACTTATTAGAAATTAAATAGTAATTTAATGGCCCAATTGCTAAAACTAAAATATTGTGGACCACTATACTATTTAATTTACTAAAATTAGGGACTAAATCTAATAAATTTAAACTATTTAACTAAAGATAAAATTATGTAAACACTTATGAACAAGGTTAAGTTCTCACCAATATCAAAGGATTGAGCTTACGATTTTTCCTTTATTTTTTTAACTAGCTCCCACGTGATTTTGCCTTTGAATCTCCAACAGAACAT